CTGCTGCTGCTGCTGCTGCTACAGAGAGTGGAGTGGCCTTGCCAGGGAGGAAACATAAACTGGGGTGTTTGGGAGCAATCTACTGGCCCAAGTACTTTAAGGGCTGACTATGAACTGGGGTATTGGTGAGGTGGGGTGTTGGTGAGGTGGGGTGTCCACAGGCCATGGATAGGAAGCCCGGCCAGCTGTGGCCACCACTGTGGTGGGGTCATGCAGGCCCCTTGAGACCACGGAGGGGCAGTGGTAGCAGCCTGGCCCCGCCTAGCCCCAGTCAATGCTTAGCCCCCCACAGGGGCGGGGACCTTCAAGCAGACAAAGGGCCATTGAGGTCTCAGGCCCTTTGGGGGAGGGAAGTTCCGACTACTGGAGCTATTTTGGGATCTTCAGAGCCAAAATCTTTAAGCAGTGAGCAGCCCACGCAGGCTTTGACCCCCAGTTGAACAGAGGATGCTCTAAGCCAGGACCAGCCTGGTCCCTGGGCTCACACGCACTGCAAGGTACCTCCAACACCTTCCACGCAGACAGATGTGTATGCCCACCTGCTCACTTGGGTTTGCCCACCTGCAGGCACAGTGGAGGGCCACACCCACTCGGGTTTGCCCACCTGCAGGCACAGTGGAGGACCACACGGAGGCTTGCCCCAGGCTTCCCACGCCCATGCTGGTGTTTGGCCCCGGTGTACATTTGGTGCACACATGAGGTTCTCCATCACAGACAATGTCTCTTGTCCCGCTTCACCCCCTGGGTGTTGTGTGCCCACCCCCACCCCCCAGCATGCATAAGTGCACATACATGATCCAAGCTCTTTCTCTCTCACACACACAGCGCATGCTGGTCCCCTATGTGTACACACACACACACACACACACACAGCGTGTCCCATCCCCACCCCCACACACACACAGTGCCTCTACTACCACCAGGTACTTCTCTGGGCCTTAGAAGGCAGTGGGGGATGGGAGCCACCAGAGCAAAGTCCCCTGGCAACCAAGGGTCCCTTTCTCATGCAGATGTGCCTCCTCCCTCTCCCCTCCAGATTGGATGGGACTGCTGAGAGCTGGGTTTTTGGCAGTACCCTACAGTTGGGAGGCCCATGGGGGAGCTGTGCCCCCCCCCTCCCATGTAAGGTCTTCCTTTGGCCACCGCCTTCCCACCACTCCCTCCCACACCCCAGCTGGTCTCAGGTCTGCCAGAGCCTGGGGTCCAGCTGCTCCCCACCACAAACCCCACCCCCTGCCTTCCCCACTGGGGGAAGGCTGCGTGAGGTCACAGGTGTCTGGCTCCCTGGGTGGGGGCAGGGGGAGAGGAGGGGCCGGCTGAGCAGCTCCCCTAGTCTGGGGCCTCCTGGTGTCCGGTCTCAGGCGGTGGCATCCCCTCCCCCTCCAGGGACAATGGGCCGTTCAAGGCAGAGAAGCCCTGCCGGGCCCAGCCAGCTGCCAGCAGAAGGCTGGCCTTTGGGCTGCTGCCTTCCTGCGAGGCCCCATGATGGCC